CAGACTGGCAAGGACCACTAAAAGTGTCGGAAGCCTTTTGGGAGAATGCCGCTGACATGCTAGAACCACGTCAATACCCCAAGGTGATTGCATTTAGAGGTAGAATTTTCATTGCTGGGGGCAGCAGTTATGAGGAACAATTCAGGAACAGCCTTTTCGGTGCTGGAGGCAGTCGTAATTTGCAGTATTTAAACACGGTCGATGTCTTCATGCCGCCGGACGATGAGCGACCGTCGGGACAGTGGACGCGCCTCTCTAACTGGGACACGGATAGGCAACCAGGCGCTCTCGTCGTTTGCCAGGACAGACTATTTTCTTTCGGTAAGTCCACAGCCTTGCCTTCGGACATTAGTAGATTTAACGTTTCGGCAGGGGTGACCATCTTGTTTCCAGAATGACTGGTGGGCAGATCTCGCAATTTACCATAGATTTTTCCTGTTATTTTCCTCCATACAACCAAGAAACTTGGGAACGTAGTGGGCCTAAAGTCAAATTGACATTTTAGGTCGCAGGTACTAATCGTTTAATAGTAGTGGTCACGATACTACTCAAACATTCTTCAATAGGATTGACATGGCACCCCATATCGCGGTCCGGTACGCACAACTGGACGTGACCAGCACCATTTAAGACAATTTCAAAGCATCCTCAAGGTGACGCACGTTTGTATAAGCAAGTGCAACGGTCATGTCGACCATGGTGCGGGCTTGTTGTAGCCTGACAAGTGCATTTTACAGAGCACGACGTCCTAAACATCACATAAACACTCGCCTTACTATCCGTTGGTTCCCAAATTCACCTAAGTCATTTCAAGCTCGCTTCCCTTTAAGTGCAATCCTGATGTTTGTAGTTGAGGTGCCAGGACGTTTGTGTGTGGTCCGTGCAGACACGTTCGTTGGATATTTCGGCCACGGCGGCCATTTTTCGCACCAATCAGATGACCGGTTCAGGTACAGTGGTGCAGCCCATTTAACCACAATGTGAAACGTTTGACACACTTAAAGCTGTCACAGTGCGTTAAAAGCCATGCCTTGGAAGGCTGCCACGTGATTGGGCGCAGGCCTCCCATTACGGCCTCACGTCTGTGGTTGGATGCAGCGGCTGACTAACGGACCAATAGGCGTTTATGCTACTCTCCTTCTGTTGACAGTTCAGAGCCCAATGGTGCGCTATGTTGGTGGCACACTTAGGGGCGTGTGCCTGGGTACCTGCGTCCTCTCCCACATCTGCTCCTCTTGCTTCGCTCCTGATACCGGGTAGGAGTGGGAGGCGGGGAAGGAAGTGCGGAAGATGCGATGCAAGTCCTTTCCTATTGTACTACCCTTCATGCACAAGTCATCCACCCTGCACCCAACCTTGCTTTGGGGCATACAGTGAACCTAGGACAATCG